AGTTTAGGTCCCCCATGACTACCGCCTCTTTAGCTTTTATGGTCTCCGAGAGTTGCCTCAGGAGCCCCGAATCTCTTTCTTCCCCTTGATGTGGGGGTCTGTAGCAGACCCCTACCACCAAATCCCTTTCTCCTTGCCCCCCATGTAGCCTAACCCACAATTGTTTAACGTTTTATGTTATATTCAGTCTAAAGTTCTGTATAGCCTCATTGTTATCTGAACTTCTCATTTTGCTGGTGTTTGCAATATCAGCTGGCCTTGTTTCTTCCAAGCAGCTTATGGCCTTGAGTTTGCTCGCATGATCTTTCTTTCCTTTCTCCAACACTGTGAGAAGTTTTTCTAACACAACATAGTAATAGTTTTGTTACTAGCTCAGATTAACTGAACTTGGCACTAACCAGCTGAATCAGAGGGATGAAATGATTGGATATGTTAATGAAAGGAGATAAAGGAGACCAATGGACAATGCTTAAAGTAAGACACCGGAAAAAGGCCAAATTAAGAGGTGTGCTCGTAATGGGACTGTTGAACAAAGGGATATGCTGATAGGATAAAATATGAATAATATGCTGACTGCAGAGAGACCAATCCAAAAGCAAGGAGTCATCAAAGGAGTCAAGTTAAGGAAAAGCATAAAAGGGGGAAACAAGAAAGTTAAGTGTGTTGTCATCATCATCATCATTTACATCATGAATCCAGCTTTCAACACCTGTCTGGATCATCCCAGCCAACGACACACCCTTTGTTTCAGGAACTGAGTGGCTGTCTTCTCTGTGAAGCAAAGTAACATCTGGGATTGGGTGAGGTCATTGTACTAAGTGTTTTTCTCTCTCTGTATATAGAAACTGCTAAGATAATACTTGTTGTACTAGTAAAGTTAGACTTTGATTTTAGGACACTTGTCTGTGTTCGTATTTTGCGTTCCATTTAAGGGTTAATTGTGCTTTTATGATCCCTAAGCACTATCTGCTGGTCAGTGGTGCGAACAAATCTGCTACAGGTGCTCAGGCTAGCTAGCATGTTTATGCTACTGTTTAATTAGTCTATAAAGGCACAGACCTACCCTGCCTTCTGACTGACTTTAGACTAGTATAGCTAACTACCTCTCTATGCTACTATAGACATATTCTTAAATATGCCGAATAGTTCTCTGAACAGATTTAGAAGAGCAGAGGTCTGTTCTCCTGAGGCAAATATTTGTAAATAATCCTCAGGCAAATGTTGCTTTGGCAGTTGAATCTCAGCAGCAGATGGGTTTGCAACAGCCTCTTTCCTACCTGCATTTTACTCTCAGAAGTGTTCTGGCTAATCCCTTCCTTCCCGAGGGTGTCACTCTAGTTGTTGCAGCTCATGTTTCATGATCTGAACTAGAAGCCTGGGGTGGAGCAAACAGCTCACTTGGTATACCCTTTTCCTGAAAAATGTATTTATCTGATTAATAAGGGAAATATTAATTAAAATCAAGCAGTTGTAAGCCATTTTTGTTTAACTGTTTTTGAGTAGTTAAGGCTATATTTGTAATCAAATAAAAGTGGTCAAGGTAGCAGCATGGAAAGGAAAGGAAATTCCCTTATGAATGCTCTATTATTATGTGACAGATCATTCAAAGAGGTAATGTGCTACAAGTCTAGTGTCTTGTAAGTAAAATCTGGCAATTAGCAGAGTGACTCAAAACACACTGAGGTGATTAAGAGAAGATGTGGGTTCAGATGTGAATTATAATTTGAGGAACATCATAAATTATATGCACACATATAAACATAATACATAAATAACTATTACATGCATACATATAATAGAAATAGATTCCTTTGAGGGTTTATAGTAGGGATGGGCAATTATTTGAGGTGGAAGGCCACTAAGGGAGTTTTGATGAGGCTGGGTCAGCACCCCTCCCTGCCACCATGTTGGGTCAGCAACACTCCTGGCCCTCAACAGCTCTCTAAAACTCCCTAAGTGGCCCTCTGGGAGTGCTGGACTGAGCGGATAGGTGCCGTCTCCATGCAGACCAGCCCAGGACACTCATGGGCAGGGTGCACTCAGCCAGGTGGGTGGGGTGGGGCTGCAGGTGGGTGGGGAGTGACATCTGGGAGTAGGATGGGTGGGTGGGGAGGCCAGCCATGTAGAGCTGGCCTAGCTGCAGCCTGACTCAGGTATGTGGGGTGTAGGAATAGCACAAGGATTATTACCACCTACGCAAACGAAATGTTGCCATCCTGTCTTGTAATGTACCTGGGACCTGGTGAGGGAGGGCACCAGACAGAACCCCAGAGTGGCAGTGCGGCTGCTGGACCTGTCCTGCTCGCTTCTGCACATGATCCGAGTCCTAGGGTGGCTGCCAATGAGAACACGTGAGGTTTGGGAACACTGGCTTTTGCTGTTCCCCTTCAGTTTGCCACCCTAGGTGGCTGCCTGTGCTGCTTTGATGATTACATCCACTGTGGTGTGGATGTAACTGGGATCCAGTGATGCGGGGCCAGGGCAGCAACGACTCATTCCCTTTCATGTAGCAGTGGCCCAGCTGGGGCCCAATATAGCCATACAGGGCTAGGAAGGGGCTTGGAAATTTGGGGGTGGGGAAATGGTTGCAGTATTATTTGCCACCACTCCCCTGTCACCCAAATTCCAGACCTATGGTGAGCCCTGCGGGCTGGGTGACCTGGCCTTGTGGGCTGTATCTGGCCCACAGGCTAGGAGTTGAGCACCCTGGTCTAGGTCAGGGGTGGGCAATTATTTCAGATGAATGGCCACTTAACAAAATGGGTGAGCTGTCGAGGGCTGCACACATAAAATTTGTCAGAAGATATCATTTGTAACAAATTATAGATAAAATACAAATTGTAGGCTAAAAACCAAACATTTACCATATTTTAATTTTATTTCAAAAATATTTTTGTCCTGATTTATGTTTTTTGAGTAGTGTCTATAGAGGCAATTGCATAATAGCTCAAAATACAGTCTTAATTCTTATATATTGTGTGTGGGGAGGGTGTGGAGCGTATGTGTGTTGGGGGTGGGTATGTGTGAGAGGTGGGTGTATGCATGTGTTGGAGGCTGCTCACGCATTAGGTTCTGGTACCCAGCCGGGGTGGAGCGAGCAGGGGGTGGGGACAGGGGGTGCATATAGCAGAACTTGTCCAGGCAGTGCAGTGCAGTGTGCTTTGTCCCCCCATCCAGCCCATAGCTGCCCCTGCATCGGTCTGCATGGGGCTGAGCCTGCCTGCTCCCTCCTGGGGCAGCCTGCACTACACTTCTGCCCCATTTCTGCCAGACAGCGCAGCCTCAGCCCTGGCCAGTGTGCGCAGTTTTCTGGTGAGGCTGCTCCTGCAGCCGCCTGGGTGCTGCTCAACTCTCCTTTCCTCCAGCAGCTTCTCCACCACCTCCTGGCCCTGCTGTGTTGCTTCAGGCAGCAGGTAGTGCACAGAAGTGGCAGTGGCTGTAGGGACGTGTTCTGGGCACCACACCCCCAGCCAGGCAGTGGGGGAAGCTACAGCCAGGCGGCTCCTGCCCCAGCACGTGGAGCTCCAGCTCCTGTTCCCAGCTACCTTCCACTCACTCTACCTGACCAGCACAATGAGCAGCCACCTACAGGCAGTGGAGTGGATCCATGCTGAACGCTGTGGGGGCAGCTGCAGGCCAGATAACTATCAATTGGCAAACTCCCATTCACAGACCAAATCCAATCAGTTGGCACCCTGGATCTGGTCTGGGGGCCATATTTTGCCTACCCCTGGCCTAGATGGAGCTCATGTTGCCTGCTAACACTTTGGCACTTACACTACTTACTGACCATCCTCCTGACCCCCCTGGGGTTGCATGCACTGTGTGGTCTCCTTAAATACTAACTATTCAGAAAAGGAACATTATAGAATGACAGGAGGGTCCCAAGGCTGCAGTATAATATTTATACTTTTTAAAGAAACATATAATACCTGCTACAGCAAAGTGAATGGCAGAATGGCTTACACAGTAGGGTGCTATAGCAGACTATGGGCATAATCATGTTTACACCCATAGTAAAAGAAGGTCAAGGAAGACGTTTTATAAAGCCATTTCTAGCCATGGTTTGTAAAGAGATCAGCTCTAGCTGAGACGCTTAATAAACCAGATATACCAAACTGCTCAGAACCCACAGGTACTGTTTCTTATAGGAGTTACTAGGTGCTGAGGTCTATGAACAGAATTCAACTTGCCTTTCAAGGCTGAATCAATGTTAATTTAAGTCAAAGGCAGTAATTCCATTAATGTATTGGTTCAAGGCCAGACGGCTCATTATCAAGCAGTTTTAGGAGCTCCTTTTCTTACCACAGGCTGTTGATGGCATTCCAAAAACGAAGTCAATTTCCAATCTTAGAGTCACAGGAGCATAGAATATGGTGAACTGAATAAGCCTAATATTTTCCCTCCTTTGCAAGTAATCAATGTTAAGGCCCTTGATGGCAGAGAAAACCCCTAAATGTATATAGCACAACTGTCTTTCATTCCATTCCTTTTTGGAATTTACACACTTTGATTTAAAGTTGTCCTCATCCAAACTTTGCTGATAAAGTGAAATGTGAGCACTGTTGTGGTTACTCTTCACCCACTAATATTTTTATTAAGATTCCACTTGCTTATTTTTCTTCAATTGAAAGCACTCCCTCCAGGCTCTACGTATTTTCTGCAAAATTAGAATACAAGCAGATGATTCACTTAGACCTGAAGATTTCCAACCAAAAGCCAGCTGCTGTAAGAATGCATTTTCAAAGTAATTTACAAAACAATTGAAAATGAAAGCTTAATTCCCCACCCCCAAATTTCCCAAAGAGATAACTTTCCCTTTTGATTTCTTAGCAGAATGACAGATAGTGAAATAAGCATCATTTTAAATTGGGAAGGCAATACACTAACTATAAGACAACAAGGAAACCACGTAGCACAGAGGAACAATCAGTAACATTGAGCAATGCTCTAGGTCTCTTATGGAAGTTGGACCGATCAGCTTAAGGACTGTAATATATCTGAGTAGAAGGGCATTCCCACATTTAGAATCCTTTTTTCTGGTAAAACTTGGCTCGTGCAACTACATCATTGGCATAATCATTGTGGGTTGTGCCAATATCCATTTTTTCATAGGTCCGGACATTTCCAGGTCCTGCATTGTAGGCAGAAATCCCACCTGAAACAAAGCATCAGAAGTGTAAACACAGACAGAAAACTAAACATTCTCTCCTAATTTATAAGAGCTTTTGGAAATGTCTGAATTGCTCTCTTAGGGCGCGTTCCGACGAGTGGCAAAGTGTGTTTCCCTAGGGACAAAGAGCAGCAGCGCACCTTGTGCCATTGCTACTTGCCATGTGCGCTCTGTGTTGGCACTGCATGTTGTAGTATAGCATAGATACCTGAGCTAGCTGTAAATGAGCTATACTGGATACCAGAATCAGTCTAGATCTAGCAGCACAGGTTAATTTATCTTATTCCATCTTTCACATTAACTTGCACAATTTTGTAATTCTCTCAAGATCTGTCTATAGTTCTCAAAAAGACTGCATGTCTACAGAGATTCAGAGTGAGATACTGGCAATGTTTAAATAAATGCCAAACCTCCCTTTACCTTCAGTGGCTTCAGGACAGTACTCATGGGCCATGTCTACACGAGATTCTGACTGCGCAGTAACTGGAGCTACTGAGCAGTAGTGTTGCCAAATGACTTTTTTGCTGACTGCACAGTAGCTCATTACTACTGCTTAGTAGCATTGTGTCACGCTTCCTGCCACGTGACACTACTGTGCAGTTGTCACAGGCTATAGCACAGTCAGCGTCTTGTGTAGACATGGCTAGGGTCAAACAGTTGAGGCCCAAATAACAACATAAAGGGCGTGTCATACACATTCATTAATGCGCTTTAGGCAATGTGCATTAAGTTAGTACCTCCATTGTGAGGTACTAGAAAAAGGTGCATTAGCCTAGTTTAATACACATTAGCTAAAGAGCATGTTTTTGTGACCTTTTAATGCATATTTAAATAGGCTAATGCACATTAAAGCATGTATACACAGGATTTCTTTTTGGATTTAACAATTCTCCCAGCAGTGTTGAAAACTCAAACCCAATACTGTGCTAAAGAAAGGGAGAACCAATGTAAAACATATGTATTTAGTGTCTGAGATCTGGGAAATCAGGAAGCAGAAAAATTGAATAAATGGTGAAATTATGAGAGCTTCTTGAAGAGAAGTTCAGTAATACAAGAAACTTAAATGGAATTTGTGTCTTAGGATTTCCCTTCTCTCATGGCCTGAATATATTCCATACCGCACCTTTCAGCTGTTGTTCCTTTGTCCACCTTGGGAACTTTCTCTGGATTGCCTTAATCATACCGACAAGGATTTGTGTGCCCTGGATGAGATGAGCCTCAGAGTTCCATTCCCCAACGAGTTTATGATACCTCTTATCAACCTGGAAGAAACCAAGGGAACATTACACCTCTCAGGTAAAAGATGATGGGCTAAATCTTGTACGCAGAAAAGTACCTATGTAACCTTGTTACTGCAATTTCGGCCTTTACATGCAATTTGCATTCTATGTAGTTATGCACCCTTCACCCACCCCTCCATTTTCCTTCTGAATTGGCTCACTAGGCTTCATATTTGTCTGTAGAAAATAGAAACTCCTGGCAGCCATATAATGGCTATTACGTCCAAAGCTTTCATCAGAGAAACACTATGACTGGAGGGTGTTTGATGCTGCAGGAGGGTCCTGGTACTTTTTAGCCCAAGAGCCTGCTAGGTTCTAGGCTGCTGGTCACCTAGAAGAAAGCTGAAGCTACATTTTGCTCTTTCGTAGTAATGTGCTTTAATCACCAGGACATGGGCCAGGCATTGCACACAGCCCCCGTTCTGAACTTAGCCCACTAAACCATGCATTTAATATTCATTGGGTAACATGGATCAACAGGAGTGAAGTTGTTTCTGTCCCAATGGGAGAGTGATCAGGGCCAGAACTTAGGTCTCCCTGTGCCATGGTTAAGGCACTTTTTCTGAGAAGCAGGAGATAGGGGCTCAAACCTCTGGGTGATTGAAATGAGAATCTAGAATGCTTCCCTAGGCAAGTGTTCTAACCATGAGGCCATTGGGCTAAATGGTGGGAGGGGTTTGCTCCTCCGCATGAGTTCTGGCTAGCATGTGTATAGGATGATCCTGTTCCACTACAGGTGGAAATAGAATCTAAACTTGGCAGAAGTGCCAAGAATTGCAGTGAAGTGGCTATATTAGTGCCACTCTGGCATGTAAAGGTGAAATAAGACTTAACTCAATGAGTTTAGGCAGTTTTCTGCCCTCATAATACATTCAGCTCGCTTTTATTGTGTCAATTTTTTGCCAGAATGCCCCATGATCTTCTCTGTACTCCATTGTTTCATTACTTAATACTGGCACATTAGATACTACCAGTGCTAGAAGAAGAACTGTGCTCAGAACTCAGGAGTTCACTTTTCCAAGTGAGGGCCCTAAACACTAAGCTGAAGTCATGCACCTTGCATACTGAGACTCAGTGAATCTTGAACTGAGAATGCAATCCAACCCCACCACACAAGAGGCTAGAGGCTTAGCAGGTTAGGAAAAATGGGTGATGAGAATTTGAAACCCCTACAGCAGAAATAGGAATGAAACTTGCATCATGGGAGAGTGCTCTAACTACTAAACTATAGTGTAAAGGGGGCCACATCCTCTCCAATCCCTCTGTTTTGAGTTTTAATTGAAAATGCAGCTCTCACTGCCTCATAGATAAGCATGCTATGAGTATCCTTCCTAGACTGAGCCCCTTGTGTGGAGACAGATGGAAGTAAGTCTAGCTGTTGGATCATACAATCATAGAAATTAAGGCCTGGAAGTGACCTCGAAAGGTCATCGAGTCCAACCCAGTAGTTACCAGTAGACAGTGGGGATGAGATGGGCACTGAGGTGCTCAGTCCTGTTGAGCCTAAAGTGCTTGTGGGTGTGCACAGAAGCTGAATATTACATGTCTCGGGACCTTTTAAAATCAAACCCTGAGGTACCCATCTGCTTAAAGAGTTCCAGAGCTAGGCAACACCTGAGTGGGGGAGGGTGTTTCAGCACAGATTTCCATACAAATGTAAACATGTAGCTAGTGACCAGAGGATTGGGAAGCTCAAACTAATGGAACAGATCAAATGTAAACTTACTATGATGAGAATGCAGACTCACCTCGTTCCTTCGTGTAAGGCTTTCACCTTCACAAATGCTGCCACCACAGAATGGACTGTCTGGGTGGCAGGATAAAATGCACAGGCTCTTAAGGACTCTCTTTAACCTCCTAAGACAGTGGTTTTCAACCTTTTTTCATTTGTGGAAGCCTACAACGTTCTGAATGGAGGTGCAGACCACTTTGGAAGTTTTGAATGGAGATGCAGACCCCTTTGAATTGTAAGTGTGGATATTCACATACTTTTGATTGATCATAATCATCTTTTATGGACCCATTAGACATGGTCTGTGCACCCCCATGGGGTTTGTGGACCATAGGTTGAAAAACACTGTCCAAAGAGGAATCAACACTCTAAAGAAGCTTGCTCACGGATCTCAGGTGTCCAGTGTAACATGCTGCTGCTGCAACTCTAGTTTGTTTTCATGGTATGGTCATCAGCAGAAGCTGCACTATTGAGAAATAAGGCTTTCTTCTTGTCTATAACACCCATTCATGCTATCTTGTTCTAAGATGGTTGTAAATTACTCACTTGCATCAAACCGAAGGCATTTCTCCTGTCACCCCAGCCATCAGCGGTTAGGGCAGCTCCTGCATGTGACTCTCTAGAGATGATGCCAGCAATCACAGCTGGATCCACACACTGGTTGCTGCCAGCTCTTTGAATTAAATCTTTGTATTTATTCATTCTGATTAGGTCCTTTGCAGCAATCGTTTCAGAAGCCCGGACTCCTGTACAAGTAAAAGTTTTAATTTAATAAATTTTATATCAAAATTTCAGAACCATTTGTTATTCACTCTAGGTAGACACTGTACGAGTTAGATAGGTTGTGCATTTTAACTTATGAATCATGTACATAGTGTCAAGGTGAAAAAGAAACGTGACTTGGAATGATGTGGAAAAGGTTGGTGCCTATCTGTATTGTTGGACTCAAGGAAGAATGGGCATGGATTTGCCGGGAAAGTGAAGGGGAATTGTGCACTGTCTTTGAAAAGGAACAGACAGCAACCTGAGACCCTCTAGACAAGTATCTTGTCTGCAGACCGAAGGATGAGGCAGAACTATGGAGGTTTACAGTCAAAAGGGGGACACATAATCAAACAAATGGAGGACTTGTATACCTCCAAGAGACACATCTGAGGGAGGGGAGGTAGTAGTCCCCACACTTGTATTTTTCTCTCCTTTTTCTTTTGAAGCCTCCATATCAGCCCACCCTGTGCTAAGGGAAAATCGTATAGGGGTGAAGTTACACATTACACTTAGACCATGCTAAATCTATGGAATGATAAATAGTGTCAAAGTTAGACTGTGCTGTGAGCAGTTGTGTGTTAAGGGGTAATACTATTTTTCCTGCACCGCTCAAACTTGCCACTAGGGGGCTGGCAAGTAGGGTGTGATTAGGAGACAGGACACCTATGTGGGAAGGGATTAATGTGGGGGTGGGAGTGGTGTACTATGGGATGCTGGAGGACCATTATCTTACTCATTTTATCTCTGTGGAGCAGACTGAAATTACCCTAACACAAGCTAGGGAGGACGCTTAGCACAAATTAATGATCTTTAATGTGTAGACACTTGTGTTTTAAGTGCCCTTAGTATGGTGCAAAGGTAATGTGTAACTTCACCCCTAGTTAAACCATGTCTGTGTTTTAAATCCATTTTATTTTTGGAGCAATCAGAATAAGGTGTTCCTTCAAGTTTACTAGCACTGCCTGTAATGACATCAGTACTTAGCAATGGCTAAGTAAGAGATGGGAAACCAGGAATCTCCCAGTTAGCTCCATCGCTGATTTACTGCACAGATTGGGGGTGGCCACTTTGAATTTTAAAATTCAGGGGCACATCTACATGAGATGCTAACTGTGTAGTAGCCTAATAACACTTTGCAGTAGCATGCCAGGCAAAACCCATGCTCATACACTACTGTGCATTAGTATTAGACTTCTGTACATTTAGCATCACTAAAAAAACTATGTGCTGGTACTACTGTGCAGTAGTGGAAGTTACTGTGCTTTTGATTTAGTGCACTTAATGCACTGTAACTATGGTGCAATATTTAATGTGTAGATGTGCCCAGGAGTACCTGGATCTTGGCCTTCTGAGGTTTATAGCACTTCCAGCACTTTTGATATCAATTTAAGGATTTTGTCTGACTGCTTCAAAAACATAAAGAAGGATCAGAACCTGATGGTATAAAAATGGACCCTTTACTTTCTGGGTCAAAATGTATAATTAATTAACTCTTCTAATGCCAACAGAGCAACACCATTTTGGTAGTTGTCCATAGGTAAAAACAGAAATGGATTTTTTGCTAGAGGAATGTTATGAGTAGGGTGACCATAATAATTTGAGGGAAATCTGGGCTGGGGGGCTGGGGGCAGAGCCAGGGATCAAGGCCAGGCAGAACAGTGCATGCATGCTCCTTTCCCCCCCACCCCAATCCATGGCTCTCAAGAGTGGGGCCAGGTAAGGGACACACGCACAAACACTCCACATCCCGACCCTGCAGCTGCCAGAAGCAGGGCCAGGCAGGACACGCACACATACACAGTGATCCTGCAGCTCCCAGGACTGCGGCTGGGCAGAACAACCTGCGCCCCACCCCCAGCTCCCAGAAGTAGGGCCAGGCAACAACCCCATGGCTCCTCTGCCCCACCAGCTCTACTGCACACGTGACTGTGCTCACATCCCAGTGGAGTCCGGATCAGGGAGCAGCCCATTGGCTGGGCTCCTTGGAGAAAATTGCAACAAAAGTCCCTGGATTGATGGGAACCCACCTGCATACGCCCAGCTCCTGGCTCACAAGTTGAACACCTGTGGTCAGGTTACCACCAATCTGGGACTTTTGCTTCAATTTTCTCCAGTGGCTGAGATGCTGAGACTGTCCTGGATAATCTGAGACATATGGTGACCCTAGTTATGAGAGTTAATCAATTAACCCTTTTTTCATTGCTTAGAAGAAATCAAGAGCTGTGGGTTACAGTGATTACATTGTCTTCTAAAATGAGCCAGAAAACACAATCATACTCACCAGCATAGTTTAAACCTTCTGGTCTTGCAGTTTGACTAGACGCCCCAGTGGTATCAACTCTGTTTATATCACCATAGCATCCAGACTGATTGGAAGTGTCTGAAGAGTTAAATAGAGAATTTTTATATTAAGGAGCTTTTGTGAGCAGAAGTAAAGGTAGACAAATTCAGAGTCATTAACCATATTCTTGTCAAGATGGAGTACTCTGTATTTCATAGGTCTTATGGAGCTTGTCAGCCAGAAATGACTGCCTCTACTGAGGGTGATGTCCTTTTCAAAGAGATAAATCTTTCACTGAATTCCCCAAGAGCCAAGGGAGAAAAACGTCCTGAGCTCTATGTCCAAGTGCCCATCACAGGACACATCCTATGCCCCCATTCTGCAAGTGTTCTGCTAAGTACTATGAGCTCCGTCATGTGATATATTTTAATTTGATTCCATTAACTGTTGAACCCATTCCCTATGTCCATGTACACAGCGAGGATTTGTGGAAATACTAATGAAATGTGTTAGGGTATGGACAAATGAGCAAACAAAGGAGAGGTATGAGAAGATTGACATTGTGTAACTTTAAAATGTCTTATGTGTCCCCACATCTCTTGTTATTGTAGCAGTAAGTTTAATGAACCAGAGAGAGCCCCAAACTCACCAAAAAGGGCAGCTAGGCCCAGAATGATCAGTGGCAGATGCATGGGGGTGGTTCTTTCCAAGCACAGAAGAGAATCTGAAAAGAAATCAAAAGCAGCAAACATGACAAAAGAAAGGCCTCAAAATGTCCTCTAAGTAAATATACCATTTTCTGAACACTGGGGTATTTTTTTGAATGAATGTGCCAATAGTGAAATAGAAAGCAATTCTATGGCTTGGTGTATGGGTAGCCATGACAGAGACCACGATAATAGTTCTGCCTTTCCCTGACAAAGCATACAAAGAGTGCAGAAGAGAGAGGAGAGAATAGATATAGAATTAAGATTCTCAAATTTCAAATCTCATTTTTTTTCTTTTATTTGGGTCTCTCTTGCCACATGTTCCACTTGTTTCCATGTTTCTTCCTTTTAAAAAGCCTATGGCAAAGTCAAAATCAAAGATAAAGAATTCCTACCAATGTTTTTGCTCCAGTCTTGTTTTGGTATTATAGACTCTTCTCTAGAGAGTGTCTGGGCCATGGGCTTGTCTTAAAGCACTTGAAGAATTTTACTTACATTAGACAGAGGAAGCTGACAATGAAAATATGCCTCAGAAATTTGAGACGTCCTGCGATCCAGGTGAAAATGACAATGTGAGAGATGTTTATCACTAGAGAGTGCCAAGAAGGTAAAAATATATTGATCTAAGAAAAAAGGATCAATCTTAAAATTTTAGGATCTAACTGAATCCTAAAGACAGTTATTTGTTTCTTTGAGAAAAAACTCAGAGACGGAGTTGTACAACACCCAGAATTAGCCTTTGAGAAAAGCAACTAGAGCAAGCAAAGAAGTCACCCATCCAAACAAGATGTAGAATCTAAAATAAAATATTCAGCAGATATATCATTGGTCACAAACAGAATTCACAATGACTATCACACCATTACTACAAATACAATGTTTACTATTAAGCAAAAACAAGTATTTTTCCTTCCCCAATTGAGCATGCTATGACTGAGTTCAGACTCACCTGTCTTCAATCTCTGTGTGCACAAGATGCATTAATTCGAGAGCTTTATATATCCTAAAGGATACCTGTCATTTACCTTTAGGAATGTTGATTTTAGTAGTAGGGTTAACTCCCTTCCTGAAGGCCGACATGATGACACCAAAAGGAAGTTATTAGCCATTTTTGCAAGAGTGTTAGTTGTTGCAATTAAGTCCTTTTGAGAGCAGTATGTCTCCCTGTTTCTTCCTGATAGTACATGGATAGTACATGGAATCAGGAGTGGCTGAATCTTGCCACCAACAGGAACAGAAACATCAGTCATTAATCAGGTTATTCCCATGTGACAGACCAAGCGCCAAAAGTAGCTGAGTCCAGCTCAGGGTAGAGGTTGGCTACAGAGACAATGCAGGCAGTTTAAGTTAAACCACCAGAACAGTTTGATTTCCAATCTCCTGGAATGGCCTAGATGGATCAGGCTTTTTAACGTCTTCAGGAAAGTAAAAGTGTCAGGTCTGGACAAAAGTCTGAACCTTACCAAGTAAATACTCTCATCTATTCAACAGAGGACCAGGCCGATGAAATGCTGATGTCACTGTCTTTTACAAATGCAGAGAAAAAGCAATATGCTGATGTGGTAGAGGCAGGAACTGAACATTTTTTTGGGCAAAAGAAATGTAATTTATGAATGAGCTAGAGTCAATCTCCGTAAACAGGAGCCTTCAGAACCTGTGACCAGCTTTATCACATCTTTGCATGCATTGATTGAATCTTGCCAATATGGGGAGATCAAGGAAGAAGTAATTAGGGACCACTTAGTTGTGGGTCTTCACAGTGAAGAGCTCTCACACAGACTATGGTTGGACTCTGATTTCACACTAAAAGGCTGTCATACATGTCTGCCATTCAGAATTAGTTAAGCAGCATCAAAGGGAAATCTGAAGTGATTCCAAGCCCTAACAGGCATCAGCTAATATGGATGCAATGCACGTTATCGAGAAACCACTACCAAAATAAATAGAATTGACATGCACAATGAAGAAAGCGAATGCTCCCACTGACACCTATAGCAACAACCAGGTGGGAAAGGGGGCCAGTGCTGTAGGTGTGGTAAAATCCTTGGGCAAGGTTTAAGTTAGTGTCTTGTTAAGGAAATCTATGTCGACATGTAAAAAGAAAGGTCACTATGTTTTAGTTTGTTGTGCACCAATCTGTCTGTGCACAACAAACATCACAGAACAGGACTCAGAGGTTTGTACTGTGTTACTGGAAGAATTTACAGAGTTTTCATTAGACCAAGGAGTCTGGATGGCAAAAATGGAGCTGAATGGAAATTCAATTCCATTTAAAACTGACAGGAGCAGCAGTTTCAGGTATACCTGATACTTACTACAGCCAACATGAGGGATGGGATTCTCCTTCCCTCATTATAGGGATCAGGTGACACTACCCTCAAAATATGGGGTCCCTTCAAAAATGACACTGAAGCAGAGAAAATGATGCAAAAATGATGCTGAAGCAAAGACCTACAGACTAGGAAGTGCATGTGATCTGTAATCTTACTTTCCCTTTGCTTGGCTTACTATGTTATACAGGCACTACAGCTTGTCTGATGACTGGATAAAATAGCAGATCAGAAATCCTTAGAGAAGAACTCCAGAACCAAATACACAACCATCTTTGCAGGTCTTGGAAAAATGTCAGGAGAATATAAAATATGTCTAAAGCTGATGCAGTTCCATATACATTAACTACATCAAGACCAGTACCCTTGTTGCTAATGGACAAAGTGAAAAGAAGAACTAGCATGAGTGAAAGAAATGGGAGTAATCACTAAGACTGAAGAACCTACTTCTTGGTGTTCTGGGATGGTGGTTGTACAAAAACCCAGTGGTAAGATTAAGGTATGTGTTGACCTCACACCACTGAAGAAATACATGTGCTGAGAGAGACATTTTTCCTCCAGTGGAATAGACCTTGACTCAACTTGCAAGAGTCAAGGCCTTCACAAAATTGGATGCTAAGGCAGGATTCTGGCAGATTTCTTTAGTTGTTGAATCATCCAAGATAACAACTTTTATTACTCCATTTGGACAATACCAATTTAAATGGTTACCTTTCTATATCTCATCAGCTCCTGAATTCTTTCAACTTCAGATGTCATGGATACTGGATAGCCTAGAAGGTGTTATTTGTCATGCTGATGACATTTTGGTTTTTGGGACCACTAAGGCACAACATGATACAATATTGGATGCAGCACTCAGAAAATTCCAAGAAGCTGGAGTTATACTTAATTAAAGTGTACTTTTGCTACTTCTCAAGTCATGTTTATGGGACATTGGATTACACTACAAGGAATCCAACCAGATCCAGCAAAAGTTGCAGCTATTAAGAGGTTATCAGAACCCAAGGATGTCCCAGAATTATGCAGATTTTTAGAAATGGCTACATTCCTGGAAAAGAATTACAGACAAATGATACTCTTTCTAGGCCACCAGTACAGACAGCACTGTCTCTGGAAGAAATGTGCTAAGAGTGAGATCTTGCAGTTTATGTGGACCCTATTGACCCTATTGTGGGGAAACCCTATTTATGTGGGGAAATATGGGTTTCCCCACATAAATATGGGGAAACCCATATTTGTTTTATTACAGATGAGGATCCAGGAAGCTCAAGAACCTGATCCTTTCTGTCAAAATATAAAGAAGTACTGTTTAGAATGATGGTCTCAAATAAGATTCAATGACTGTGAGCTGGCAAGGTACCAAAAATGAAACTCAGTCCCCATGTTGTCAGGGATCTAGTCATGGCAGATGTTGGAAGCTGACTTACTGACATGGAAGTGTTCTGTTTACCTCGTTGTTATCAATTATTACTCCTGTTACTTGGAGATGGAACAGTTACAGAACACCACAACTGAGAGACTTATAACCAGGGTTCCTGGTTTTCTCTGATAAAAAAAATCCCCAACTTTCAGATTTAAAAAAGTAACCCAAAATCCACAGTTTTTATAGTTTCATATTTGGTAGGGTCGGAAAGGACCTGAGCAGATCATGAAGCCTGACCCCCTGCCATAGGTAGGAAAGAGTACTGGGGTCAAATGACCCCGGCTAGGTGATTATCTAGCCTCCTTTTGAAGACCCCCAGGGTAGGAGCGAGCACCACTTCCCTTGGAAGTTGGTTCCAGCTCCTAGCCGCCCTGACTGTGAAGTAGTGCTTCTTGATGTCTAGTCTGAACCTATTCTCAGTCAACTTGTGGCCGTTATTCCTAGTTACTTCTGGTAGTGCTCGGGGGAACAGGGTCTCTCCCGTTCCCTGCTGGTCCCCCTTGTAAGTTTATAGATGGCCACCAGATCCCCTCTCAACCTTCTCTTGTGGAGGCTGAACAGGTTCAGGTCCCGTAGCCTCTCCACGTAGGACCTGCCCTGCTGCCCCCTGATCATGTGAGTGGCCTTCCTTTGGACCCACTCAATGCTGTCCACATCCCTCCTGAAGTGCAGTGCCCAGAACCGGAGGCAGTACTCCAACTGTGGCCTGACCAATGTCATACAGAGGGGGAGGATCACCTCCTTGGACCTGCTCGTGATGCATCTATGGATGCATGACAAAGTGCGGTTAGCCTTCCTGACTGTGTCCCCACATTGGCAGCCCATGTTCATCTTGGAATCAATAGTGATTCCAAAATCCTTCTCTGCCTCTGCTGATGAGAAGGGATTTCTCCAGCCTGTAGGTATGCTGCTGGTTCTTCCTCCCCAGGTGCAACACCTTGCACTTGTCTATATTGAAACCCATCCTATTCTCATCCGTCCACCTCTGTAACCTGTCCAGATCTAGTTGTAGCCTGTCCTTCTCTTCTAGCGTGCTCACTTCTCCTCACACCTGGAAGCCCATTCCAGATCCTGGCCACCCTTACGGTGAAAAATTTCTTCCTAATATCTAAACTAAATCCACTCTCCCATAATTAGTTTACACCCATTATTCCTAGTCACTCCCTGGGGTGCCTTAGTAAACAGAGCTTCCCCTATTCCCCATTGACCTCCCCTAATAAATTTATAGGCAGCCACAAGATGTCCCCTCAGCTGTCTGTTGTGAAGGCTGAAGAGATTCAGCTCTCTCAATCTCCCCCCATAGGGTCTATCATGAA